ATATATATATATATACATACATACATACAACGTTCTAAATAATATAAAAATAAAGCTACTTTATAAAAATCAACTTTTTCTCATGTTTGCTGGGGTGGGAAAAAGAGAATGCATTTTAATTTGCTTCTTTTAGGTGAAACTTGTCTGATTTGATGCTGTTCATCAGGTATTGAGTACAAACCTCCGGAGTACAAGGAGCGTGACTTCAGTGAGGCGCCCAAGTTTACCACAAACCTGTCCGACAGAACCACCACCGTCGGCTACAGCACCAAGCTGTTATGCTCTGTCAGGGGATTTCCTAAGGTACAGTACCAAGTCTGCATGATGTACGTCRGAGCTGACAGTTTGTACAGAACGGTAGAATCACAGGATAAGTTAAAAGATTAGGTAAATCTGTTTAAAGTAGACATTTCGTGCTTTTAAATCCTTCCTTTTCACATTTAAATCAGTCGGGGTCTTTATAAGGTGAAGCTACCATTTTTGGTCTGAATTCCTCTTTATTCTAACTTCACAACCTCCTTTTTCACCCCTTTTCTGTTGTGTCTCTCAGAGTAGCTGGTTTTTCGGTCCCTTTAAGACACTCAAGCCCCGCCTCCCTCCAGCTTCCAGACCGGTCCACTCCGGTTTGAGAGAGGGGCGGTTATGTTTTCTTACTTGCAAAAAAATATTTATTTAAATAAATTTATTCAGTTATTTAAAAGATGTTAGGAACAAAAGATTTGTCCATTCAGCGTTACACTGCAATAAACTGTCCATCTAACCAAGTTTTAAAACCTTATATCCAGCCAGAAAGTATTTTTGATCTTGTTTTGAGACTGATTTACCAAACAAGAACTGATTGTGTAAGAATACTAATCTTGTTTTCAGAATGTGTAAGATTATTTGTCTTGTTAGCCTGAAAATTTAACTCAAGTCAAAAATTTCTGCCAATGTTCACTTAGTAAGATTCTTGAAATACTTGATTTGACTCAATTTTTTTTCTTATTTCAAGAATCTTACCAAGTAAAATTTTCTTACTCCATTAGCAGAAATTTTTTACCTAATTTGAGTCAATTATTTTTTTGGCTGGATATAAGATTTTAAAACTTGGTAAGATGGACAGTTTTTGCAGTGTACATGTTGGAGCTAGAGTTTGACCCAGAACCAGAGGAGAGACCCAAACAGAATAAAGATATCTTTGCAGCACCAGCAGAGARTTAAATCAACTTTTCTGAACTCCTGGAGACTCTAAGTCCACAACAAAATGTATTTAAGTCCACAACAAAATGTATTTATCAGCTAAAAAAGAGGATTTTGCATTTGTTACTTTGCCTATTAGTATTACATTTTTTTTGGCCACTAACCCCTTTCACTAACTAACATCCATAATTTCAGAACAGACATTAATTACTGCCTAAAATCTGAAACAGTTATTCTAAGCACACAATCTCTTTGACAGAGTCAGAACTGTGCTAGACAAAGATATTGTAAAAACATTTCTACATCAGATCATTGCACATACAATTTTGAAACAGTAATGAGCATTTAAAGAAACCTACAGAGCCTTATTTCAGCTACCTGTCAGCAGCAACACGTTCTGCTGTCGGTGTGGCAGCTCTCAGCCGACAACAGGGAAGATCTTCACCTGCCTCCTAGACTCTCACCTTCTCTTCTGGCTCACCGTTAGCCGGGTCACTAACAGGACAGAACGTCAACAGAATTCCTTTTTTAAGGCACGGGGAAGAGGAGACGTCTGGGACGGGGAAGCTGGGTCGCATGTGTAACATTCTGTGTCGCTGCCTGAGGGCTTCTCACCATGTCCCCGCCATTAAAACCCCATACCAGGAGGGTACTGTGTGTCTTCTTCGACTGAAATGTGTTTGTTTTAGAAAGAACGCTGCGTCTCATCTGTTTGAGTTTCTTTTTATCAGTTTTTTCTACCTGACACCATGTTTACTTGGTTTGTTGTTTCATTCTCTACAGCCCAAGGTTCAGTGGATGAAGAACCAGATGATCATCGGAGACGACCCCAAGTTCAGGCAGATCTGCGTCCAGGGAATTTGTTCCCTGGAGATCCGAAAGCCCGGTAACTTTGACGGTGGTGTGTACTCCTGCAGAGCCATGAATGATCTCGGAGAAGCAACCATCAGCTGCAAACTGGAAGTCAAACGTAAGTTTTTAAACTTTTAAATTCATCGTCGGTTTGTATTTGCTTTGTTTGCCAATTTCCACATTTTTAATGTAACTTGTGACTGAACTTTCTGCTGAAACAGAGCCTGTGGTTCCAGAAGGAGGGAAATAGGTGAACTTCTCAATCGCAGGTGAACAAAAAGGATCATAATGCAGTACACTGTGTTTTATTCAGCTTTAGCATATCATTCATGAATTTTAACACTAGAAAAGCTTAGAGTCTACACAAACACCTTTAAAGTAAAACTATTCTTTCACAGGGTGAGCTTTGAGTCAATAGGTTTCCTCCGTGACTTACATGGTGAGGCTGCCCATACATGGAGGTGACTAAACTTGGAAAAGGTGGCCTCTTCCGCCGAACAGATCCAAGTAGTAGCACCCATAAATTAAATCTCAAATAACTCCTCCTGCACTCAGTCAGGATGACTTCACATTTCCTCAACTCAGCAGCAGCAGCCTCTTCTCTAGAACATTATTTCATATTTGAGTGCTTTCTTAGTAACGACATAAGTGGAAATATAAGGGGCTGCTTTACTAACTGCTTTAGTTCAGACAATTTCAAAACACCTWTTATTTTAATGATTTCTCTATCACCACAGGAAGGTGTTGGATTCCTGGAAGAACATGTATATATGGCTGGTGATCGCACTACAAACGGTTGTAGTCTGTGACCTCATAACCAGTGTGAAGATCTTTTAAGATGAACAATTGTTGTCGTCYCTTCATCCCAAAATCTACAGAAGTCCATATCCATGTCCACAARTTATTTTATTTTATTTTTTCATTTTTAACTTTTGTTTGCCCGAAACACTCTCATCGATAACTGGAATGCCACATTCTCTCCTACTTAAACATCTTGTTAGTCTTACTCAAACGAATGTACTGTTCCTCAAAAGAGAGCTACATGTAACATCTTTGTGTTTATATCAATAAACGATTTATTTCTGGTTCTGTTTTGTTTTTAATTCAGTAAGTATTTTTTTTAGGTTTGCGTTAAAAATTGTGATGGCGCACTTCAACAGTTCCGCACAGAGTTATATTAAGAAATCAATTAACTGCGACGACCGTTTTAGTTTAGCGTTAGTTTATGGTTTGAGTGCATGAAGAGTTAGCAGTTTATTGGTTGAAATTAAAGTGGCGTGGTCTAATAAGTCCAGATGGAAGTGATGGGTGGATCGGAGTAAGAAGAGCTGAGGATAAAAATATGCACCCGTCGTGTCTGGTGGCCAGGCAGGCCTGAAGGGGAGTGTTTTGATTTGTGGTTTCTTCATTTGAACAGGTTCAGCAACGTCATTTGTCAAAAAAATTGCTGACTAATTGAATCCTGATTTAAAATGTTTAAAAAAGGCAGCATTTTTTCTCTAAATTGGTTAAATGTGATGGGTTAAAAAATGGCAGTGACTTTAAAACGCCTGCTCAAGACCGCATGTCAGTCTGGTTTCTGGGAAGCAGAGGGCAAATATATATATTTTAATTATATAATTTGATGAGGAATCTTGGAAAACCAAGGAGTGTAAAACACTACTTCAATCTATTTCTACAGTGCAGACAAGCCAACAGCAGCTGTAACTTTAAACTAGTTTTACTGTCTCTGCAGAATCCACGAAGCGTTTCTGGCAGAATGTCGATCCTAAACTAGAGATGGCAGCACTATTCATTTGGCTCACCCAAACCAAAAAGCCCATCGCAGTATGCCAGGACTTCCATAATAATAATACCAGCCTAAAGTCCTGATCTTGTAACTATTTCTTTTAGGAGTTGCTTGCATAGTGATGGGGGCGGGGTGCCAGGGATATCCAGGTTACAGAGACACATGGGTTCGCCCAGAGGCTGACAGAATTAGCCTCAGTGCTCCATCTTGTTCGGGGTATTTTAGGAACAAGTGGCTGAACTGGTAAGATGAGCTTCTACAGTGTGTGTTACACTAACCAAGAGAGGAAAACAAAATTAAAAATACTAAGTAAAATGTCAATATTTTCATAACTTGAAAACAAKACAAAAAAATCTGTTGTACAGGCCTTTGTGCCAAAGTAATCAACCAAATGTTTTTTTTTTTTGCATTGAAGAATTTAAATGAGTGTTGACAGTCCTAATGCAGAGTGAGCAGCCTCACTCTGCAGGCTGAGCTTCAACTGAACATGAAAAAGAAAAGGTAAAACCTTTTGGTTGTGGCGACCTCTTGTGGTCCAATTACGTAATGACATGCTTGCACAAAAATATGATGGTGAATTGTAATTGATGTAAAAAATGTATATTTGACAAATACATGAAAAAGTCCTAGCAGCTAACATCCCATTTAATGGTTTACTTTCTAGTAAATATCTCATTTTGCTTTCTGTAAGCATTTGACTAATTTGGAAAAAAGGTCTCTGTAACCTGCGACATGAGCCGGATTGGGTCTCAGCCCTACTTCCACGGGTCCCTGGGTGCTGACATGCTGCAAAGGGGTCACAAAATGAGAGACTTTCTATTTTAGATCCTGCTCAAAAGAGGTTTAAAACCCCAAAATAAGTCTTATTAACAAATGACTAAAATATAACCTAAATTTTGAAGTTATATTTAAAACGTATTCCCAATGTTGTTGTTTTTTTTTTTAGTTATTGCTTTCAAGCTTTCATCAATCTATCATTTGTGAATAAATTACCAAATTCTACCAGAGAGGCTGTTTTAGAGAATTTGGGAATTATTTCTCTATTAGTAAATTGTTGATTCATTTCTCCAGAGGGGTTAAAGGACTGCATGAACTGACATCTACACATTTTTTCTCAACAATCCTTTAAATGATGACACCTTTTTGTTTAGGATTACTCTCACTGCACTCTGGCAGGATCATTAAGTCAAAGCAACAGAATATTCMGTAAAATATTCCAGCACCGAACTGAAGCACAGGCTCCTTTCTTTTTTTCAAAACAAAGAAAAACAATGTCTTCATGATGAATTTGATGGGTTGCCTCAGGCTCTCTCACATTACGACAGCAAGGTCTTAAAAATGCATGAATACAAACCCTTTCATTTGATTTGTGGCACTGAAGACAACTGTTAAATCATCGTTCATTTATCTTTCAATGAGAATGTATAAGACCCTATAAGTCTTCTATCTTCCTCAGTGTAATGACGCCTCAAAGCTACTCTAATGTGAACACACAAGAAGCTCAAACCTTGCAGGTTTTTTATGTCCAATTTATCTGCAYCTCTGCTGTGTCAAAGTTTGGTCTCAGTCATATGGATTTGTATCATTTGTTTTACTTTATGTGCCTCTGCGCCATTCTTTTAACTCCTGTGATTTCATACCACACAAATCAGCCAAAACCTTTTTTTTTGTCCCTCTCCCTAAAAGCTTGAATCAACTCAAACCAAGATGATGCAAAACTCAGGTTATCTCGTGACACAGCGTCTCTGACTCATCTGGTGGTGCTGCTGTTGTTGTTAGTGATGCATCGAGTGCTGCCTGGTCACTGATTCATCAGGGTGACTTCAAAGGCAATGAGATGGTCTCTTTCTCTTTCTCTCTCTCTCTCTCTCTCTCTCTCTCTCTCTCTCTCTCTCTCTCTCTCTCTCTCTCTCTCTCTCTCTCTCTCTCTCTACCCCGTCAAGGAGCCCGGTTGTGTTTTTTTTGCTGTTGAGTCTTGGCAACTTTCCCAAAACTTCTAATAAGTATAATGGGGAAAATGGCACCCACCCCAGTGTCCTGTTGTGGTTTCTCATCAACAAATGTTCCATTTCTAAATCAGCTGGACAGTCTGTCAAAACACACCTCTTATTTTTCTCACTGTCGGTCAGTTAAGGAGAAATAAGATTACTGAAATTTCTTTAGTTTTGTAAAACCCTGAGCTGTAAACAGATAGTTGTGACGTGTGGCTCGAGATGTTGTTGAACGTTTTTCTAGGTTTTCAGACATACTTAATCGGTAAAAAAGGCAGATTACGATGCAGTAAAAATGATCTGTATCGCTCCAGCAGGTTTACATCATCCTACCTCCTAAATTATTCACCAGGTTTACTCTAAATGTGAACAAAGCAGTAGTTGTCATTTTTGCAGGACTTGCCAAACAGAGAGAAAAGGAGAGAGAAGAGAAACTTTCCATCTGTCTGTTTTCATACTGCAGTAAAACCAGCGTGGTCCACTGCTCCTCGTGGCGCCCTGTAGCTCAGAGCTGCAGAGTTCAGGCGACCAGGAGACCTCCGAGGACCCCGCTGCAGACTGCTGCTTATACCATCCTTACCTCTCCCTTTTCATCACTCATTGATTTCTTCTGTTTTTTACATCTCCCTCTTTCTTTTTTCCCTCCTGCGTGTAATTCTCAAAGCTCAGCACTCCTTCTCAGCCTGTGCTGAGGGGGGGACAAGTGATGGAGCAGTGGAAGAAAAGAGGAGGAGCACCGTTGTTGGTGCACCAAAGAAAACCTGGTCCCCTCCCTATACCCATTTGATGTCATAGAGGTTTTTTTTTCTTTTTTTTTCTTTTTTTTCCTTGAGCAGCTTGCAGCCAATCAGTGAGCAGTGCCGGGAAATCCAGCAGTGGAACTCCACTGGTCCTGATGCTTGCACTGATTCCAGTGCCGGACCTGTATGTTCATCTGTGTGAGTGTTTCCTGTCCTCTCTGCCTCATTAGCTCACAGCTTCAGCTTGAGCCAAGAAATTTTGTTTGTTTCTGTTTGGAACGTTTGGAACCTGTCACTACTGAGATTTATTAGTTTGTTTTTTATCTATTTTTTAAATATCTTTTCAGGGAGCGATGCTACGAGCAGATTGTTGAGATTTATTTTCTGCTTTTCTTGTTCCACTCAGTTACCTGCTTTCACTTTTGACTGAGAAAGCAGAACATTTCTCCTTAAGGTAAGCCTCTCTCTCTCTCTCTCTCTCTCTCTCTCTCTCTCTCTCTCTCTCTCTCTCTCT